CCTAGCTCAAGAAGGGGGAGAGGGGGGGGGTTACGTCGCCGCGCGACGCCGCCACAAGCAGCGACGGCAAGTCGACGATGCCTGCGGCCTGCAGCGGCGCAGCGAGCTCTTCGGGCAGTCCCGCCCCCTGCAGAAGCGCGCCAATGCTGCTGTCGTGCCCCTCCTCCGCCTCCGCCGCCGCGGTCGCCGCGCGCCGCGCCACCGCCCACCTCCAAGGTCAGGTAAGGTCAGGTAACCTTCTCAACACACGCGAGGTGGTGGGGCAAGGGCCGGGCAGTCCCTCGCGTCTCCACGTCTAACGACAGGAGCCCCACGGCATTCAAAGTGCAAGGCCAAGTGCGCGTGGGTGAGCGGTGGGTGTGCGCGTGTGTGTGTGTGTGTGTGTGTGTGTGTGTGTGTGTGCGTGTGTGCGTGTGTGCGTGTGTGCGTGTGTGTGTGTGCGTGTGTGCGTGTGTGTGTGTGTGTGTGTGTGTGTGTGTGTGTGTGTGCGTGCGTGCGTGCGTGTGAGCGGTGTGTGTGCGTGTGTGCCCCCACCTCCACCCACATCCGAACCGTCATGCCTCGGGGGGCAGCGGGCCCCGCCGCCTATGTACCAACGGACCAACCCATTCACTCTTAACACTCCGAGCCGTCAGTGCCGCGGGAGGGGCGGCCACGCCGCCTAGACGCGGCCGAAAATCTCCCCGTATCTCCCCGTATCTCGCCATATCTCGAGGCGCGGCTGCCGCCGCGAGGGCACGACGGGCGCGAGTGCAAGGCAAGCACACGGCCGAAGACGCGTCCTCTCTAGTGGGAGAACACGATTCCGTGTCCCGCTTCTCTAGGCCCCAGAGACGAGATCTGGGGAGATACGGGGGGGGGGGAGATAGGGGGAGATCTTCCGCTTCTAAGCCCCACCGCCGTCGTTGCAGCCGCGGCCTGCCACCGCACCGCCGGAGCACTCCCGGCGTTGCGCGCGGCCCGCGGCCCGCCTGTTGCATATCTCCCCGTATCTCCCCGCATCCCCCTGTATCTCGCGGCGTGCGGGCAGAGAGAGAGGGGGAGGGGGGGGGCGAGGGGCGAGCTAGCACCCCAAGTCCACTGGACCACACCTTCCTCCCGCCTTCACTACTTGTGTCTTCCTACACGTTGTCCTTCCCTACTGTGTCTCCACTACACGTTGTGTGTGTACTGGCCCGCCAGCATCGCCGACGCGCAGCCAGCCCTCGCACGGCTCGCGGCAGCCTGTCCACAGCAACCCGCCCTGGTCAGACGCTGTCCACAGCGCAGCCAGCCCTCGCACGGCTCGCAAGCAGCCTGGCTTGAAGAAGTCAGCCTCCAGCCGCGCCCAGCCGCCCACCTATCTCGGCTCGATCTCGGCTCGATCTCGGCTCGATCTCGGCTCTATCTCGGCTCGATCTCGGCTCGATCTCGGCTCTATCTCGGCGTCAAGCCGCCAGACCTGTCAGGACCCTGCTCCGCAACTAGCGAGGCGAGATACGTGGAGATTTGGGGAGATCTGCCCAGCAGCCCGCCTCCAAATCGCAACGCACGACACGCCCCGCCGCTCGCTTGCCAATCGGCGGACCACCTATGGGGAGATCTGGGGAGATCTGGGGAGATCTGGGGAGATGCGCTTGCCAATCGGAGGACCACCCGGGCTCTCGCAAACCACGGCGTGCGGCGTCGCGCGCACGCGGTACCTCCGCACCTGTTCACAGCTGCCGGCTGTGAAGAGACGCCGTTCACACTCACAGCGCACGCGGTACCGTACCTCCCGCGCCGCCCGGTCGTCCACCGGCGCCAGCAGCACTCCGAGCCCGATCTTGGCGCCGCTGAGCAGCATCCAGCCCTCGCCTGGATGAAGATTCCGGGAAAGTTCCGAGCCGGCTCCGGGAAGGCTCGTCGGACGCATCTTCCAGCCATCGCCTCCTCCGCCCAGCCCTCCCTTTGGCGCGCCTCCGAAGCGCTCGTCCCGCAGCCGCACCCACCCCCCCGTCTCGCCTAGATGCGAGAGCCCCGAGGAAAGGTCACGGAAAGGTCCGAGAAGCTTCGCCTGCAACCAACCCTCCCGTCTCGCCGCCGACCGTGCGCGCGTCTGTTCGGACGACGTCGCCGCACGACTTTGCGCCGACCGCGCGGCCGCCCGGCGCGTGCCTGTGGCGGGCAGGGCGTCCGACGAACACACTAGGCCTGTGGTGCGGGCTGTGGTGTGGGCGGTGGCGACAGCGGCGACAGCGGCGGCGGTGGAAGCGGCAGCTGTGCCGGGTGAGTAGAGCTGGCGATGGCGTGCAGCGCCGCTGTGCGTGTACCCACAACGTTTCGGGGTGCGTTCGCGAAGCTGATGCTCTCTCTGCGCTCGTGTTTGTGGCACTCACCGCACGAGGACCGATGGAGCGTGCACGACACGGTAGATTCCGCTCTCCTCCTTGACGCGTGTCTGGTTGGCGGACATCACGTCACAGACGGCCTGTAGAGCGGGTGCGCCTGGTGTGCGTGAGAGGGATGTCGCTGTCGGCCTGCGAGCGAGGTCGCCTCGGGCTCCGGGGCGAGGGCGGCCCACAAGCGCAACGCGGATTTTTTCGGGGAGGGGGTCTCGAGGTTCTCGAGGTGGATATCCTTTGGCCGCGTTGGGTAGCGAGGATTGGTGTTCTATGAAATGAACTCGGGGGCACGGGACGCGGCACAAACGGGGCACAAACGCCAGGCTACAAAGACGGGGAGGCACGTAGTGACGCAGGGGAGTCTAGGCGACGGCGGCGTCCTCCGACGCCGGCCGCGGCGAGCCTGAGCTCGGTCGCAATCTCTTCCGCCGCCGCGAGCTGCAGCGCGACTGACATGCGCTGGGCCTGCAGCGAAAGCCACGACCGCGTCGACCAGCTCGCCTCGTCCTCGTGCTGCCGCTTCGAGAGCTTGTTGCGCACCTTGTCCTTCATCTGGTAGAACAGCCGTTTGACCGCGTTGCACCACCCGCCGAAGGTTTCAAACAGGTACATCTGCACGTCGGTGTCCGAGCGCGAGAGGGCGTGCGCGTAGTCCGCCTTCTTGTACGCCACATAGCCGCCGCCGTCGCTCGGCCTGAAGTCGCCGTCCCCGACAGCGCCGCGCTGCTCGAGGCCGAAGATGTCCGCGCTCGTGCCGGGCTCGGTGTTGCCGAGGCCGACGAAAGCGCCTCGCTGGCCGACGTCCTCCGGGTTGGAGGAGAGCGAGTCCTTGAACTTGACGTCGCCGATGAGGCGCGAGCGCGAGCGGCCGGCGCCCGCCACCGAGACGTCGGGCCGGTAGTCGTTAGAGTAGCCGAGGTGGTCCCGCGGCTCCACCTCGACGAGCGAGGATTGGTGTAACCCGAGCCACGGAGGCGTGTTTTCTGACGGCCGACCGTCAGTGCACGGAGTTGCCCCTTCTCCGACTGCCCCGGCTAGTTCCCGAGGTCGTCGGGTGTGACCCCTTCGTCCCCCGAGACGTTGGGTTCACCTTGAGCACTTGAGCACTGGATAGGGTCGGTTCCGCATGGTACGGGACCCCTCGATCGTCTCGCCCACCCTCACTGGTGTGTTCATTGGGGGGGGGTCATAACAAACACGTACCTAGGTACCTAGTTACCCATGCTTTGCTGGTACAGTTGTAGCGACCTGACGCTGCTTCAACAACCGGGATTTTTTCTACTTAGTTAGGTACCCAGTTCACCCTTGGGGACCCGCTGTGTGCGGGGTGGGCCCCTGCACACAGCTGGGACTCCCAGGATTCGGTACTTCAGCTTGGTATAGTATCATTGTATGCTTCTCGAGGGGGTATCAAGGTATGCTCTAGGCCTCTGTGGGGACCCATCTCGGCTGGGTAAGCCAAGATCAGCCGGGATGACCCGAGATTGGCCGAGATGACCCGAGACGACCCGAGATCGGAAGAGATGACCGGAGATCGCCGAGCTGCGCAACTACTGGCTCTCAACACCACCGTCGTCAACTGCCTCGGGCGCGTCATTAGCACGCGCACTTCCCCTCGACGCAGATGTTGCCGGGGCTGATTGGCTAGACGAGCGGTCTACCTCCAACGGGGCGGTCTGGCAACGCGTGGATCCGGCCCGCCTCGGCGAATTACGGTTTAGCGCGACGACCGGGGGAGCTCTGATCGCCGTACTCACCGGGACGCTGGTTGGTGAGGTGACGGTGGGAGGGCACCCCCCCAGACAGCCCCTCCCGACGGGGACGCCATCACCCTCGCCCAGGGATCTACACAATGCTGTCTTAAGGTCCGACAGGTTCGGCACCGGGCACCGCCTCGGTATACAAAATGCGCCTGCGGGCGGACCCTCACAGATCACAGTCGCTCTGTCTGTCCTCAAGACGCAACAAACAAGACCATTTATTAAATGAACTCGGGACCAAGCGAGGAATCGAGATATCGGCGACGCATATCGGCGAGGCAGCCATGATCGAGAACCAGAGCGGCAGCGCCGCGAAGACGCTTCTCGTCGTCACAGCCGCTTTTGGTGCGCGCAACCGCCATCTATACGCCCTGTTCCCGCCGCATTTCCCTTGTACAGTTAGCATTAATGCTGTTGCAGGCGGGGCGGTAGTTGGCACCCTCGCCACGCATGCTCTGGCCCCGGCGCCAGCGCTCAAGACGTCGTTCGTCGCGGCTGAAAGGCGAGTGGAGTAGCAGGCCCCCCCGACCCCCCCACCCCGCCCGGTGCGATGGCTTTCATGCGCGTGGATCTCCTCGCCTCGGCGTTCGTGCTCGCCTCGGCGGTACGCCGCAACGCGCGCGTGCGCTTGCCCGCGCCAGCGCTCAGCTCTCCGCGCTTGTTTCGCAGGCGAAGGACCCCAAGGTCACCAACAGGGTCTTCTTTGACATCGAGATCGATGGCGAGCCGTCGGGCCGCATCGTGATGGGCCTCTATGGCAAAACCGTGCCGAAGACGGTGGAGAACTTCCGCGCGCTGTGCACGGGCGAGAAGGGCACGGGCGAGAGCAGCAAGCCGCTTCACTACAAGGGTTCGGTCTTCCACCGCGTCATCCCGCAATTCATGCTGCAGGGCGGTGACTTCACGACAGGCGACGGCAGCGGCGGCGAGTCCATCTACGGCGGAAGTTCCCCGACGAGAACTTCAAGCTCAAGCACACCGGCCTTTCGATGCACGATGGCCAACGCCGGCCCGGACACCAACGGCAGCCACAGTTCTTCATCACCACCGTCGCGACTCGGTGGCTCGACGGCAGGCACGTCGTCTTCGGCAAGGTGATCGAGGGCATGGACATCGTCAAGGCCGTCGAGGCTGTGGACACCGTGGAAGGCAACTGCCTCGACGGCGCATCCGACAAAGTTAAATTGTTCCGAGGCCGCTACAAGCATGAGCCCGCCCTGCTTGCCAGCGGTGTTTTCAAGTTGGAGCAGATCATGTCTCTCTACACCATCCCGCACGGCCCCGAAATGGAAGCAGACGCCGAAAAGTACGCCAACGAGGCCTACTTCACCATCGGCATGCCTCTCAGCGAATGTCTTTTGTATTGCCGATAACGGAGTATGGAGTCAGGCGTAGACGATGTCGGGCTTCACTCGCCCCTACTCGGCGACTACACCGCCACCGAAGCGCCGCCTAACACACCGCACGGGGCGCAAGGAAGCTCGACCACACCGTCTGGCCTGCCGCAGCCGACATACAGCGAATATTGTGCACCGAACGCATGCTAATGAGGGGGGGGTCCGATCCCCCACGACGTTATGGAACATGCTCCCCACCGCGGGGGGAGCAAGAGATGATCTCGAAGAGGGAACGCGAACCTCCCTCGAGCTTTGAGGGGAGTGAGTGTGTGTGTGTGTGTGTGTGTGTGGCCGTTATCCGTTAGTGCGGACGTCGCCGCGGCTCTCTGCCGCGGCGGCTGCTGCGCGCACGCGGCGGCGCCGCTCTCTCGCGAGACGGCTGGCGACGCGGCTCGCCGCCGACGTACGGTGCGCTCGTCCGACGGTCCGCAGCGTGGCGTGCGCGGCGCTGCGCGCCGCTCTGCGAGCGCTTCTGCGCCTGCACTGCCTGTCTCTGTTGCTGCTGCTGGTGGTGGTGCTGCTGCTGCTGGTGCAGATGCTGCTGCTGGCGCGGCGCGGCTCTGCGACTGGGCTCGACGCGCGCGTCGCGAGCGTCTGACGCGGCGGGCGGCGTCGGGCAGGTGCGCTTCTCTCTCGGGTGGTGGTGGTGCTGCTGCTGCTGCTGGTGGTGGTGCAGATGCTGCTGCTGGTGCGGCGCGGCTCTCCGACTCGACCCGGTGCGCGCGTCGCGGCTATCTGACGCGGCGGGCGGCGTCGCGGGCGGCAGCGGTGGCGGCTCGCGGGTGGAGGTGGAGGCTGGAGGCGTGGTGGGTCTTTAAGTTTATTTCATGATGGACTACGAGGACCGGGGGTCAACCGGGAGGCAGGGGGTCAACCAGGCGACGGAGGACCGTGGGCCATCGCGGGGACCAGCCCGCCCGGAGGGCGCGCTGGGCAGATCCGGATGGTCTTCACGCCGGTGGGAGGCACCGAGGCGTCTGGGACGCTCAGCTCTACCTTAAGCTCCTGAGGGGCGCGTGGTTGTAACCACGTAGTAGGACTACAGCCCACCACAGACACCCTCCCCCACTCCTCACGTGTGTTCACACCCTCACCCTCTCCTCTCTCCTCTCTCTCTCTCTCTCTCCTCTCTCTCCTCTTGTCTGTGCTGTCTGCCTGACTCAGGTACTCAATCTGCCGATGCGTGATTGTGTGTGGGCTGCTCCGAAGGGGCCCTCTGTGCGATCCGACGGGTAGGGGGGCTGTGCCCGGGCGGTGTCCGGTGTGGAGTCCCCTTCTGATCCCGCCTGGGATGTTGGGTGTGAGGTTGTGGCGGCTTCGATCCCAAGGGGGGGAGCTGATCCCACTCAATAACCAACTCTCAGGGGCAGTAGGTGGGCGAGCTTCAGGCACGCTCATCTCGATCGTCAAGGCGTAGCTACGCGCGGTCTTCCGCGGGGGGAGCTGCGTCGACGGGTGCGGGACCGCGGCGCAGCCAGTGCCGCGGCGAGGCCTCCGGCTGTTTGCGGCGGGCGGCTTGCTGCTCGCGGCGATGGCGAAAAACTCGTCTCGCCACACGCCAAGGGCTTATGCTCTGGCGAGACGTGAGGCGCATGCGCCCAGGAGGGGAGGGGGCATGTGTAACGACACTGCTAGAGATGCCTTTCGGGGCCCAGAGATAAAACTTCTGTGATGCCATGCGTGACCTAGTAGTGTCCCAAGCTATGGGCGTGTCCACGTTGGAGCCAGGTGTGGTGTGGGCGCGAGAATAGCTCCGCCGTTCATGGAGGCAACCGATGCGAGTCGACTGGTGTGTGTCGTCGTGGTTTCGTATCAAGAATACTCACTCACTCACTCACTTTGAGGGGAGCGACGAGGATCAGAGGGAGCGAAGGAGAACCTTCCATATGAGCTGATATTGTGGGGAACCAATTCTGACCACTCGGGTCACGGGTGACAGATCCCCCCCCGAGTCTGTAACGACTCGAGAGATTACGGGGTGTGGACCGAGACCGTGAGTTGACCAGGGGTTGTGCGCCGGGCCCTCCTGCTCGGCTCCAGCGAGTAGACAAGTGTTACCATCAACAGAGGAGAAGGATCTGACCTCGGGGCTGATGTGACCAAGCGCTGGTAGCGTGGTTTTACCTCACACCCATGGTCTCACAGTGTGCCAGCAGTCGCCGAGCAGTGTCGCTCACACATGCGCCGCAGCACAAGTGACTGAGGGCCAGTGAGGGCGAGCCCATCGCTGTCACAGCTGTGGCAGCCGCACAGTAGGCTGTGTCAGCTGTGCAGAGTGTGTGAGCAGCAGAGGAGCTGCTCTCCAGGCTTCTGTCGCAAGGAGCTGCATGCCACCGAAAGCGCTGTCGAGGTTTGCCGAGCGCGGCGCAGGTTGGAGGACACCGTCACCGACGAGCGCGTTGGAGTATTCACTCCGGACAAAGACGGCGGCACGCACACGAGCTGCGGCCGTGTGGCCGTCATAGCGGCGAGGCGCGGAACCGTCTGTGGCAAAGTGGGTCGCGTCCCCCGATTTCCGTCAACTCACGGACACGGTCCTTCCCCCGTACCTGACCTTAAGAGGCGCAGCGCGGGCACGAGGCGCAGCCCGACGCGACGCACGTCGGGGTCGGCGCTCGCGCGCGCGAACCGCCCGGCGGCCGAAGATGGCCCGCTGCCCTCTGCCGCCCCCTCCGCCGGCCGACCGCGCGCAGCGCCTCGTCGAGCGCCGCGGCCCTGGCCGAGCCGCGCAGGGGCGGCGCAGCTCCAACCGGCGCGGGTGCAACCATGTTCATCTCTCCGAGCAGGCTCGCGAGGCGCTCGTCCGCCGCCGCGTGCCTGCAGCAAAGGGGGCGCGGTGGTCCAACGCGGCGCGTTACCACGTCAGCAGGGGGGGGGGGGGGGGGGAAGGGGGGCACGGCCGCCGCCTCCGCGCCTGCCCAGCCTCGCCGCCGCCTCGGCCGCCGCCGCCTGCCCCTCCCACCGCTCCGCCTGCTCCCTCGCGATCGGGGCGAGCCGTCGCGCCCGCGCGTGCGCCTCGTTGCGCGAGTGCTTCCCGATGGCCCGCCTGCTCGCGCCGCGCGCCTGCGGACACGCCTCCGACATGTCCTGGACGTGTCCCTTGATTGCGCGCGCGGCCCGCCCCGCCGCGCCCGTGCAGGCGAGGGTGGGTGTGTGGTGCGAGCAGGCGGGTCGTGGTTCGGCGGGGCGGTCGGTGTGGAGTGCACACGGGTGCAAGAGGTGGCAGCAGGAGTGTCGCTCGAGAGAGAGGTGGGGAGTGGGGGGTGGGAGAGAGAGGTGGGGAGTGGGGGTGGGCGGAGAGCGTCCGGGTTCGGCGAGGAGGGGGCGGGCAGGGAGAGGGGAGATCGCGGGGAGATCGCGCCTTTGCAGACAAGACCGCGTGCGGCGCCGACGCAGGAGAGTTGGCTGGGCAGCGTGGAGGAGGCGCCAGCCACGTCCCGCGGCGAGCTGGCCGCCTCGGCTTGGCCGCGCAAGCGCCGCCGCCGCCCGCGCCGCCGCCGCCCGCGCCGCCGCCGATTGCAGCGATCGTCGCCTCTCCGCCGAGCCAAGCGCTCAGCTGCCACGCATGCATGTGCCAGTCGGCAAGGGCGGCGACCGCATGGCCGGCAGCACCAGCGCCAGCGCCGGCGCCGTCTCCACGCGCGCTGAGCGTCGCACGCCTGCTGAGCGTCGGCCACTCGGGTATAGTGGCCGCGCTTCGTGGAGAAAGCACCCGGGGCGTGGGAGGCGCGCTGCCCTCGCCTGTCGCCACGCCGGCGGGCAGCCAGTCGGCAAGCGACGGCAGCTTGTCCTGCTGCCTTGGACTGAGCGACGTCTGCGCGATAGCGTCGGCGAGGTCATCCTCCGCACTCACGACAGCGTCCGCCGCGGCGGAGACCTCGTCCCGGATCTGAGCGGGGAAGAGCAGGCCGTCGTCGAGGCCAAAGCGCCGCGTGAGGTCAGCGATGAACATTTCGAGGTTTGAGCTGGTCACGGACCCCTCACCAACGTTAGAGACGAACAGTCGTTGTCTCTATACTAGCAGGTTGGCTCGCTAGTCGCTCGCCGGCCCGCGCAGCACGCGCGGGCCTTTTTTGTGGTCGGATGTTGGTCGTCTCGAATTTGATCGTGGGCAGGGCGTGAGAAAGCTGGACGGCTCGGTCGATGCGAGCCACCAGCTCGTGAGCGACGGGCGCGACGGGTTCCTCGGCGTAGGCTTGGGCGTGGTGAGCAGCGCCGGCGAGAGAGGGACGGCATGCGGCTCCCAAACGAGCCGCACGAGCTTCATCTGGGCCGCCGAGGCCACCTCCTTGGTCGCGGTGGCGGGCGTGAAGGCGAGGTGGGCCGAGGCAAGCGCTGAACGTGCCGTGCCGCCTTGCGCCCCTGAGGAGGGACGAGTGTGTGGGGAGCCACGGGCGGGGGGAGGGCACCCCCACGAGGGGCTGCGCTGACGCCGCCTGCCACCCCACGCACGCCACTGACGCTGTGGGGCCGGCACGATCGAACGCGCTGGTCGGGCGGGCCGTCTGAGTCGCCCAAGCGGTGCTCTGCCGGCCGGTGGACGCGAGGGTGGCCCAAGAGGGCTCAAAGTACGGAGCCGATACCCGGCCGTCCCGGACGCCTGGCACGCGGGCCAATGGTCCAGCCGTCCTGTGCAAGTCAGCAACCTCGGTCACCTCCCTTGATTGAACGAGAGCTCTCTCTCCGGCTCTCCGCTCTCGCTTCGCGCTTCGCCCTCATGCGCGACGCAATTTCGCTAATCTCGACAGTCACTAATAGACAACAACGAACCGCCAACCACGTAGTACACCGATATTCACCCGCGCACACCTAAATCTCGCTAGCAAGTGGACGCGAGCTCTCTCCTACGACCTTCGACCTATATACGGTGTACATACGGGCACTCGACATATTCTTCGCCGGTTTCTCGCTCACCGCTCCTCGCTAATTTGGCTGCGCCAAAGCTGGGCCAAAGACATCGAGATGGATGCTCCGCGCGCCCGCCGCCTTGAGCGCCGCGGACATGTCCGCGAGGAAGGGCGGCGGGCCGCAGAGGAAGAAGTCGCATTCCGCCAGGTACGGCTTGAGGGCGCCCTCCACGAGCGCTGCCGCCTCTGGCCGCCCGCCCGCGTCTGTGTAGTGGAAATGCGTCCCGGCACTGCTAGCCTCCATCTCCTTCCGAAAGGGGTGCGCCGCCTCGTCCCTGTCTATGTGCAGGACGAACTTGACCTGCTCGGGCGCACTGTCGAGAAAGCACTTCATCGGCGTCGCGCCCACCCCTGCCGAGCAGAGCACCGCCGGGCGGCCACTCAACTTGAACGTGCCAAAAGGTGCGGAGACGCCGACGACGTCGCCCTCCTTCATGCCGTGGAGGGCGGAGGAGACGAAGCCGCCCTCGACAAGTTTCGGGCAGCACTGCAGGTAGTCCTTGCCGGGCGCGTTCGTCACGGTGTAGTGGCGTGGCGTCGAGCCCTGCTTGTGCAGGTGCAGCGTCAGGAACTGGCCTGGCGTGAAGTCGATTGGTCCGGCGCCGTCGACAGGCTTGAAGGTGAGCTCCACGCAGTCCGTCGCGACGCGCCGGGTCCCAGCCACCCTGAAGTCCTTCACCCCCTTCCAGCCGCCACGCCGCCCCGCCGACTCGGCGTAGAGCTTTGCCTCCAGCTCACAAAGGTTCTTGGCGAGAGCAAGCACGGCCTCGCTCCAACCCTCGCCAACCTCTGGCGTGACAGCGTCGCCCATGACGTGCCCGATAGACTCCATCAGGTTCTGGTGCACGATCGAGTAGTGGCGCGGCTTGACGCCGAGGCCGCAGTGTTTGTGAGCGATGATCTCCAGCGCCCCCGTCAGCTTGGACAGGTCGTCGATGGAGGTGGCGTAGGCTACGACTGCGTTGGCCAGCGCCATGCGCTGCAACGGCGGCTCCTTGAACTGATTGGCCGGGTTGAAGAAGGCCTTTGCTTCAGGGCTGTTGCTGAACATGCGAGGGTAGAAGTCGTCGACGATCTCTCTCACCTTGGGTGCGACCGCCGGTGCTGTCGCCTTGACGATCGCGGCGAAGGGGCAGCCAGACATAGTCACCGCCGGAGACGTCGACTTGACGATTGCGGTGGAGGGACAGCCAGACATGGTGTCTGCCAGAGATGTCGAGTAGCCGATCGCGGCGGAGGGGCAGCTAGACATGGCGCGGTGGCTAACGAGCCGGACGCCGCGCATGGAGGTCATGGGTGAGGTCAAAGGCCGGCAAGGAGATTGCTGACACGTTCAGGCAGGACGTGTTGGCGGCTTTATGCAAGATAAAAAAATCGTAACGTGGGTGCAAGTGTCAAGCGTTGAGCACCGGTGTCTCTGGGAATGGTAATAGTATTCCGCATTCATTGCGAGGGCGGACGGTCTCGGGAACCGTACCCATACTACTCAAAAGTACAATATCTACCACACACAAAGCATGCAGCAGGGCGATAGGCGAATCCATCCCGCCTCGCAAGACGAGACTCACACGTGCGGCGCGCTCGCCGCAGGTCGGCGTGCGGAGCGTCGGGCATCGGCTCGCCATCCCGGGAGCTTGCCTTGAGCGGCCCGGGCTGGGACCGACCGCGGGAGGCTGCCTGCCTGCACCAACCAACCAACGGACATGAGCGATCCGCAGTCGTCGAAGCGCCGCCCCCCCCCCCCCTGCTAGTGTCTGTCGTCGTTCCTACCCCTGATCCTACCCCACGGCTAACGCTAATGTCTGTCATCTCCAGCGCACAAAAGAAAAATCTGGCCCCCCGCAGGAAACCGGCGCTCAACCAACACCCCCTTGTTACACCCCACCACCCGAGCTGCAGCAGGTGAGGAAGCTGTCCGCGTCTCTGCTCGGCACGCAGTGGGCCGGGATCGAGTCGCCCCCCGCCAATGCGCCGGAGTGTTTTGCGGATTCGCTCACTCACTGCCGCTGCGGCCTTGTCCGCCGGCTCCACCCTCCGCTGCGAGCCCTCCGCTCCCTCAGCAGCCAAGCAGCAGGAGCGCGCGTCGAAGAGTCGCGCCATGCAGCAGGAGGTTTCGGCCGCCGAGAATAGCGGTGCGGCCCGCTTCAACGCCGCCCAGAACCCGTCCACCTTCCGCGTCGACGTCTCTGTTCAAGCCGAGCCGGAGGTCGCCGCGGCGAAGCGCTTTGAAGAGGAGCTGGACAACGCTCTCGATCACCACGCAAAGCTTACCAAGGCCTACTCGCCACCGTCCCTGACTCTCCCACTCGCCACCGTCCCTGACGACTGCTACCAGCATGGCGGCCGCCCTCACCGCGCCTCCCCCCGTCCTCAAGGTTGACGCCGTCCGTGTGGCCGCCATCGAGGCGCTGCCGCGCATCAAGGCGCCCCTCACCATGGCGCCCCACGTGCCGCCGCCCATTGAGCGGAGAACGCCGGCCCGCCTCGTCGTCGACTTGTACAGCACGGAGAAGACGATGCCTGTGTCGCCATCCTGCAAGTACCCGTTCTGGACTTTCAACGACGGCGTGCCGGGGCCGATGATCCGGGCCCGCGTCGGGGACGTGCTCGAGGTACCTACGGCCGCCTCTCCGCCGTAGCCCTTCTCCTCTCGGTCGCCCCCTCCGCGCCGCGGCCCTGACCCCCGACCCGCCTCCACCAGGTGAACTACACGAATCGGGCCGAGTCGGGCATGGCGCACAACATCGACCTGCATAGCGTGGTGGGCCCAGGCGGCGGGGGCCCGTGCCTGTATGCGGAGCAGGACGAGACCAAGACAGGCATTTTCAAGTGCACCTCGCCTGGGCTGTTCGTGTACCACTGCGCGGCTGCGCCTGTGCCGGTCCACATTGCGAACGGCATCGCGCGCCGCCTGCCCCGCCGAAGCCCCGGCCTCCCCACCCGCAGCGCTGCGGCGGTGGGCGCCACCCCTACTAGTCGGCATCTCCCTTCTCTTACCAGGCACCCACCCCTCGCCGCAGGCATGTTTGGCCTCGTGCTTGTGGAGCCAGAGGGCGGGCTGCCCTCCCCACCGCCACACCGCCTCTGCCTGCTCACCGCCACGCCCGAAACGCCTCGCGAAGGCGCTCTCACCGAAGCGTGCGGCGCGCCGCCTCCGCGCAGGCGGCCTTCCTCCGGTGGACCGAGAATTCTACGTGGTGCAGCACGAAGTGTACTCCGCCGAGGACGAGGAGGGGTCGAGTGTGCTGGAGCTCGACTACGAGGCGGGGCTGCGGGAGAGTCCGACGTATGTGGTCTTCAACGGCCGGGAGGGTGCATTGACCGAGAGGCCGCTGATGGCGAAGCAGGGCGAGCGCGTGAGGATCTACTTCGGCAACGCCGGGCCCAACCTGATCTCGAGCCTCCACGTGATCGGCGCGATCTTTGACAAGGCCACGTCGTGCTAGTTGCGGGTGGGGCCCGAGGTTTCGAATTAAGTTGCCTATTACTGCTAGGTCTATCGCGAGGGCGACCTGATCTCGCCGCCGGCGCGGGGTATCGGTGTCACGGCGGTTCCTGCTGCGGGTACCACCGTGGTCGAGTTTGACGCACTCGTACCCGGCAGCTACACCCTGGTGGACCACAGCATATTCCGCATCGACAAGGGCGCCGTGGGCTTTCTGAAGGTGAAGGGCGAACCGAGGCCCGACCTGTACGACTCCAAGGAGATGAAGGTGTACTGCGATGGGTGCAAGCTGCACTCGTGAGAGGGGGAATTGATTGATGGGAAGGCGAAACACAGTCCGACCAACGACTGGGACACCAACGCGTTATGGGTAACATGAGCTGAGAGAAACTTCGCACTGAGCGAGTAAATTCTTTTTTCGCACGACACTGGGCACGGGACTGGCGCGCACTGGCACTAACACAGGTACACCAGTGTCGTGCGAGTAAGTTTCATGTAAAATTTTCTGCTTGAATTCTTTTTTCGACGCGTCCCGCCACCCAACCGCGTCCGAGTCGGGCTGAGCGGTCCGGAGTGCGGGTGGGCAAGCCCTAAAACTGGTTGGGTAGTAGTCTAAGTTCTGAGCCTGGAGGCCTAACGGGTCTAAGTGTGGCTAGCCACGCTGGAGTGCTTGAGCGGTCTAAGATCAGCGGGAGCCTCTTACATCGGCTAAGTCGGCCGTGGACGGCCTGGGGCCAAGAGGCTCCCACCGTGATCAACGTACAACGATACGGCGCAGCCCCCAAATTTTCTTCGCCTGCGGCGGGCGATCGATCCTTCTCATGCTCAGCAATCGCCGCCTCAGCATCCTCCTCTTCCGATTCTCGTTGCTGCTTCTTGAGCGCAATCTTCGGCGACTTCTCGCCAAACAGTTCTCACAAATAGCCTCAAGCTCAAACAAACGCGTGTCAGAGAAGCCTGTGTATGCTGGTCCTCTTTGAACGATCCGCGCGTGAGGTAGCATAGGGCCTTGTTGGCAGCAGCCAGCTTGTTGCGCTGCTTCGTTGCGATGAGCTGATTGGGATCGCAGAAGTGCATGCCAAGCACCGCCACGATCTTGAAGCAGAACACATCGCAACCGCATCGTCCGCACTGCCATCGGCATGCCGCGCCCGCCGCTTCGCCGCAGCCGCCTTAAGGCACGCATAGCGGCAGCATATGGTACGTTGCGCGTACTTGAGCAGGCGTTGCGCACCGCAAGTGGCGCACTGGCCCTGGGAGAAGGCGATATGGCGTCGTGCGCGGCAAACGTTGGTCGGGACGCGTCCAGGTATTTTTCGTAAACCTGAAAGCTTTTCAGGTATACCCGGGTTTTACCCGGAGTTGGCCTTATGTTGTAGGTATATTGGCCTTATGTCGTCTAAGTTCATGGCCCCCGACCATGAGGGTCTAAGTCTGAGCCCGGCTCCGTGCGGGGGCTAAGTTGAGCGCTCGCTCGCTGCAGAGGCTAAGTGTAGAGCGACCTCGCCAACGGCGCCGTCTACGAGGGGGAGTACAAGGCGGGCAAGAAGGAGGGGCGCGGCGTCTATACTCCAAAGCCGACGTGGAGTCGGCCTTCTACAAGCAGGGTGCTGACGTCGGCGAGGGCGTCCGGTGGATGTCAGACGGGCAGCGGGCGGCGCGGCTGCTTGACGGGACGGCGGTCAAGGCAATCTCGCTGGAGGAGGCGCGGCAGACCCTCGAGCGCCTCAGGCTCCCCCTCCCCTCTCCGCTGCCCGGCAACCGGTTCGGCGCGTTAGACGCGTGAGAGGCAGCGCCCTCCGTCAAGACTCTTGCAGCACTATCTTACGGAGCAGGGAGGGGAAGGGGGGGGGGGGGGGGAGACGGGCCTCGCGCGAGCGAGATCTGTGAAAGTGGGGTTGAGAGAGCGGGGCACGGCGCCCAGCCTCGCCCTCGGGGTTCACCCTCCGCAGCCCTTTGAGGTGACCGATGAGCAGCGGCGGGCCCTGTACGAGGACGGCGCCATCGCCATCCCGAATTCCTACCTGTACCTGTGCAAGAGGGTGCGGAGAGTGAGTTGAGGAAATGAATTCCTACCTGTGTACGGCTTTATGGCGCGCGCGGGCGGGCTGATTGCTTCAGCAGTCGAGAGAGAGAGAGAGAGAGAGAGAGAGAGAGAGAGAGAGAGAGAGAGAGAGAGAGAGAGAGAGAGAGAGAGAGAGAGAGAGAGAGAGAGAGAGAGATTTGAAAACCAACAACGAACAAGTAATCACGACTCTCACAAGTGTGAAGTGATCACGTACGATGTAGCACTAGCAGTTGTGGCTCGTGGTCGTGCGAGTGCATACAACCCGAGCGTGCGAACTGCGAACGCGACCTCGCTCCTCGGGGGCTGCAGGGAAGGGCGGTGTAAGTAGCCGATCCTCGAAGTCCGCCCCGTTCCTCCCCATCGGGCCGCATAAGCGGCCACGCCTCGCAGATTCGTTTCTCGCGCCTGGGTCAGGCGCGCGGGGCATCCCCCGGGTCGCTCGACCAGCGATAGCGATCCGAAGAGTGGCCGCTATGCGAAGGAAAGAGCGGGGCCTCGACGCCTCAGTCCGGCCCTCCGAGGGGGGAAGGGAATTGCGGGAGCAATCCTGGGAGTGCGGCTGCCGATTAGGCCGATTGAAGTGCTACGGAACACCCGCCATAAAAACGGTATGGCGGTGGAGTGCTCTCTACTGCCGCGGCGCCCCTGTCGGTGCGAAGGCGCCCGGCGGGGGCCGCGCGCTTGGTCCTTGCTCTCCTTGAGGTGCTCCAAGATTGCAACATCATGCGGCAAGAGACCTGACGAGGATACAAGAATTTGCAATTTCCGGCGGAGTTTTTAGTTCCTAGATTAAATCCCGAAGAAAAATAGTACACACGCCTAGCAGCCTAACTACGCCACGCATCTCTCCGGTCGGGCCGCGGCGTGGGCTGCGCGCCGGGCTGTCAGCAGGACGTCGCGCTCCGGTCGTGGCACAGGTTGGTGATCCAGTGCGTGTACTCGCCCAGCTCGACGCCGAGCGCGTCGGCGACGTGCTGCAGCAGTGTGGAAAAGAAGTGGATGTTCTTGACGAAGATGGTTGCGTTCTGCATGCGCACGATGCCCGTGCACTTGAGCTTGCCATCCTCCAGATACAGGTGCAGCTCGCGGCAGCACTTGTTCATCCCCTGCACCGTCCAATCGTTGGCCTCGCTGCCGCCCGCGCCGCCCGCCTCGCAGCCCGTGAAGGGGAAGGTGATCGTCGCGCGCTTCGAGAGCGGCTCCAAGCGGAGGCAGTCGATCGCGTTGGCTATCTTCCGCGTGATGCCTGCGCGGTAGTCGCCCTGATCGCCGCCGCGCTCCTGGAGCTGCCACTGCGCAGCCTCCTCCGGCGTGTACTCCCAGCCCATATTTTTCTTCGTGTAGTACTCCAGCGCGCCTACCGGGAAGAGCTCCGTTGGCACCGTTGATGCGGCGACAGAGACGTCCTCGATCACCGCGACAAAGTTGCGGACGACGTACTCGCCTCCCGGTTGAGTGATCTCGCGGAGGTGAGCGTACAGCTCCTTTGCAGTTGGAAAGTGAACGAACCCGGCGTTGAGGTTCCGGCACGGGGCGTGTTGGGACGCCATATCGCGGCCAACGGGGGCCGGCGGCCGTGGCAATGTAGCTCGAGAATGCCCCCCGCCCCGCACGTGAGACCTCGAGAGAAGCTTCCCGAGCGAGAGAGAGAGAGAGAGAGAGAGAGACTCTCTTCCCGAGCGTCAAGAGTGTGTGTCTTGTGAGCTTGTTTGTGTCTGTGTGTCGCTCGTGCGTGTCGTCATCATCTGTCTAGCGTCCACCCATACCGCGTTGGTGTCCAGTCCGAGCCTGGCTGTTCTTCACCTTACTACCTACCTACTGTGTGTGTACTCACACTCACTCACCCACGTCAAGAATGGGCTTTCTTTGGCGGGCAACGGGGTGGCTGCTGGGAGGCGTGAATCGGCAAACCCCGCCCGGAAAGTGCGGCAAAAATTTCAGATCTAAGCGCGTGTCTTAGCCAAGGCTCGCGCCTACACGTGTAGGTGCTTGTGTCAGATACGCGCCCACACGTGCAGGTGCGACCCTACTAAGCTAAGCTAAAGTACGTAGTACAAGCTAACATGAGCGCCGGCGGACCATACCACAGCCCGGCAAAAGTCCCAACCCTGCGACGTCCACTTAGCGCGGAAGGGGCGCCCTACCGCCGACCGGCGCTGCCGAGAGCCATGCCGGGCGCGATGTCGGAGGGCGAGAATGCCATGTTCGGCGCCCTCTGCGGCTGCATCGAGACGACGCTGCTGCAGTCGACCAACTACTGGAAGAATGCGGCGCAGCAGGGGCTGCCCTTCACGCTCAACCCGTCTGTGCTCTACCGTGGGTATGTCGCCAACCTTTTCAACAACGGCGCGGCGACGTCGTCCCAGTTTTTCTTTGGTGGCATCATCAAGAAGTCCATGACTGGCGGCGCCGACCGGCCGCTCACGGGATCAGAGACCATCACCGCCGCTGTCGGTGCCGGCGTGCTCTCCGGGCCGGTCTGCAGCCCAATCGAGCTGGTCATGATCCAGCAGCAGCGCAAGGGTGGCAGCCTGTTCGGCACGGCGGCTGAACTCGCGCGCGGAGGCCACCTCACCCGTGGCACGACGGGGATGATGCTGCGAGAAGGCTCCCGCCGCCGCCTCTGTCGCCGCCGCCGCCACCCTCCGCTACCAGCCACGCGGCCCGGCCCTGCCCCTCCACAGGCCTCTTTTGCGGCGGCTACATGGGCGTGACGCCCGTGATGCGTGGCTGGCTTCGCGAGAACTACCCCGACTCGATTGGATCGACCGAGGACCGCGCGAGGCTGGCCGCCACCCTCATCTCGACGCCGGTCTGCTCCTTTGCCTCGCATCCGCCCGACACGCTCAAGACCTGCCTGCAGGGCGACGTCGAGCGGACCAAATTTGGCGGATACAGCCAGACCGCGAGCACGCTCGTTGGAGAGAGCGGCTATCCCGCCCTCTGGCGCGGGCTGCCCTGGCGCTGCTTACGCCAGATATGCGCCGTCTTCATCTTCGACAAGCTGAGCGCAGAGCTCGCGCCACGCATCTTCCCGCACGCCTTCCACTGATCTGCCGCGATACTGGGCGGTGTGTGCACCGGACGGTGTGTGTGCACTCTCTGGCATGGGGCTGGGGCGGAGTTGGTCCTGGGACCAGGCGCGTCTGCACTTGTTGCTCGAGAGAGGGTTGCGCCCCTTGCGGGTGCAGGGACCGCAGCGAGCAGGGCGAGGTCGAGCAGAAAATTCTCGCTCGGATGCCGCATCGCCCACAACTGTCGCATGCGTATCCGACACCCCTGTGCAAAGTTCCCGCCTGATCGATCGGGTTTGGCGATCCCGATCGGAAGCCGGATCCGTTCGTGTTTGTTGAGCGTTTTCGTCTCAATCCGGATTGCGGATGGCCCCATGATGGCCCGCAGGCAAAGCCAGAAGGCGCCGCGTGGACCGATCAATCCGATTATTAACGCGATTTCTCCGCCGCGCGCGCACCCCGGTCTGAGACAGAGGTCTGAGAGAGGTGTGGGGGGTGCGGTGCGGGTGTGTGGCCGGTTCCTTTTTGTCCGCTTTCGCGCTAGCTCCTAGCATTTTTTTATTTCACGTATGGAAAAGCATGCTAGTAGCTAGAGCGGCGCGGCGCACAAGAACTATCCTGTGAGTTTCTCTCTGCTTCTCCGCCTGTCCCGCGACCGCGCGTGTCCCGCCGGGCATTGCGCAACGCCTTGTGCTGGGCAACCTCCAGGGCCTCTCGGCAATGGAATCTCGCTCTCACGTCAGTCATTTCTAGTGAGGAGCACCCAGCGCATCTTTCGCTTCTTCTCGAGGGAGAGGGTCAGCGTGCGTAGCGAGCCAGGCCCGTCCTCGATGTGCCACTCGCAGTCGGCCGCCTATAGTGGACCGGGGGTAGGCCAACGCCAGGCGCACACCGCCAGTGTGCGCATACAGCGAGCTGAGGGCGTGGCGGCGGCATCGTGCGGAGAGGGGGGAGGGGGGGGGGGGGAGAGCACACACGGACCGCCCGAAGACGGGGGAACGGCTGCGGCGACACAGTCGGGCACAGTACAGAGGAGTGCAGGTCTCCTCGAACACCCTTGGTCGTGCAGGGGGGCCAGTCTGGCGCATCTCTGGGTAAGCGGCGTTGATCGGCTGGAAGAGCTTCCCGCAGAGAGGCTCGCGCTTCCCCTCCGGCAACGTGCCTGGCGACGGGGAGAAGGGGGGATCTGGGGAGATCTCGGGAACTCCGCTTCCCCTCCGTCAGAGGCTGCCTGGCAATGGTGATCGGCGCTGATGAGTGAGTCAATCATTGTCTCCCGCCCTCTGGCGGCGGCGCCGACGCTCAGCCGCGCCCACTGCTCCTTGAGATCGAGCCGCACCTGGGAGGTGCCGTGGACGTGTCGTGGACGTGTCGTGGACAGGTCTCCGCACTTGTCCGCGCGCGCGGGCCGCGCCTACGGCACCGAAACGGCGCAGGCGACTACACAGAGAAAGCGGGCGAGGAGCGCGCGTCCTCGGGCGCGAGCCGCACGTCCCTCGACTTTGTGCCTGCCGGCAGCGTGACCCGCACCGTCACCTCCTCCCCCCCGTCTTCCCAGGACAGCTCCCCACCCCCGCCCGCCGCCGCTTCGCCCGCCGCCGCCCCACCCGCCGCCGCCCCACCCGCCGCCGCTTCGCCCGCCGCCGCGGCGCCGTCGAGCAGCCGCTGTGCACAGGGAGGCGGCGGCGGCGCCGCCGCCGAGACGGCTGCCGCCACCTTCTCGCGCCTGCCCTCGGCGAGCCACGCCTGCAGTTTCGGGTGGAGCACACACGCCTCGTTGGAGCCTTGGTGCACAGCCTTGCCTTCTCCTCTCGGCGAAGTCTCGCGCCTCGACTGCCGCGCCGAAGCTCGACCCGCGCTTCGAGCCGCCCGCCGCCGCCGCCGTGGGCGCCGCCGTGGGCGCCGCCTTGGCCGCCGCCTTGGCCGCCGCCTGGGCCGCCTCCAGCCAGCCGCGCTCTGTGAGCAGCTGCGGCGCAGCCTCTCCTCCGAGCCGTAGCTGGCCGGCTGCGGGGGGCCCATAGGCGAGGCGGCCCACGAAGCAGTCGCCGCGCACGGCTCGCGGCTGGCCGGCAGCCTGCGTCAGGAGCGACGCTCGCTCGTTGGGAGGCAGGCCCTTGAGGCCGCCATGCCGGTCGTACATCAGGACGACAGAGTCAGACCCGACAACAAGGCCGGTCGAGTTTGGCGGCAGCAGCACGAGCGCGGCAGCGCCGTTGAGCGCCTTGAGCGCGGCGTAGACGTCGTCCGGGACGGTTAGCGCCTGGGCGTACGAAGTGCCGGTGTGCGCCTCGACTGCAGCGAGGTCGCACCTCTCCTTGCTGGCAAACTTGCTCGCGCCGAGGTGCTCGTCCACCGCGGCGCGCGCCTCGCCGAGGCTCGCGACCTCTCGCGGCTGCGGCGGGTTGCTCTTGTCGCACGGGAGCAGCGTCCAGACCACCATCTCGGCGACGTGCGCGGCTGAACGAGCTCAAGGCGGGAGGAGGCGTGAATCCTTTAGGTTCTCGCCCGCTCTGCTGAGGGAGAGAGAGAGAGAGAGAGAGAGAGACTCTCTCTCTGCTGAGGGGAGGAGCGGACGATCGCTCGGTCGAGCCTGCCCTGTGGTCTCTGACCTCATGTTGACATTCTATTCACAGACGGATCCGTCTAGTGAAACTCGGCGGGCGGATTACGTCCCGCGGCTCACACTGCTCACTCCTTGTGCGAGCCGCCGGTCAGCGATCGATCAGCTCGCCTCTCCTACTTATCTTCCGTCGCCCCCTGGCAGAGCTCAAGGCGGGACTGCGTGGTCGAATACTGGTGAACGTGATCTGTGATCTGTAAGGGTCCGCCCGCAGCCCTGATACAATGTATGAGCTCACTAGTCTCTAGTGAGTCTATCGGTAAGCGTGGGTTAGCGCGGGCTAGTTAGTGCTCACTAACCCGGCACGGGTCAGCTCGGGTCAGAATGGGTTACCATAACCCGGCACTAACCCAGCGCTAACCCGCGCAGGTGGGGGGCCATGGTGCTGCAAGGGTTAGGCTTGCTCCGCCTCTAGCAATCTCGTCGCCGGCCGCAAGGCACGGACGAGACCGTGTGTGGGGTCTTGTGAGGTGTCTATGGACGCCCTCCTCACAGGCTATTGGCCAGCCGCTAGCCCTAACTCGCACTCATGGGTGACGACAGTTCATTGGATGAGTGGTTGCGAGCAGAGGCGCGTGTGCTGAATCTAGATCGCACGCCGTGGCATATGACTTGGGTAGGCGTGCGACCGCAGCGCGCCCGCCGAAGGCTCGACCGGGCGCGCGTGTCAGCCAGAAGTTTGCCAGTAGAGCGATCCTGGTCTTTCCGAAGACGAGCCCCGCGCCACGGGTGCCAGCCGTGCCTCCGCGGGAGCCGCCTCTCGAGCCGCGTCCCGCCGGCACTGTCCCTGAGTGCGTCCCGCCTTGGTTGGCGACAAGCGCACCCAGCGGGCCGGATGATTGGCATCGGGTTACGGGCAAGAAAGCCGTTGAGGTAAAATTCTTTCGCAGTGCGCGCCAGTCCCGTGCCCAGTGTTGTGCGAGGGAGTTTTGTTGTAAAATTCTTTCGCGATGTCCACCCCGCCGCGCCGCCGCTCGCGCCGCCGCTCGCGCCGCCTCGCCTCCGCCGCCTCCGCCGCCGCTCCCTCGCCAGACACGCCGCCACCCACCCGCCTCCTCGACCTCCCCAGGGAGCTCCTCGAGCGCGTCCTCTCCCGCTTCGACAGCCCCATCGACATCGCTCGCGCCGCGGCCGTCTCGCTTCTCTTTCACGCCCCGCTCGCGAAGGAGGCCATCCGCTTGTGGGCGCAAGAGCGCGGCTTCGAGCTGCCGGCGAAGCCAGAGGATGAGAACTGCGCCGTGCGGTGGCTGTGCTTCGCTGCGTTGCTGCACGAGTCCAACCCGCCGGCGAGGGCGGCGGCAGGCGAACGGCACAGCGTCTTCATCGACGGCGAGGGGCGGCTCTCGTCGTGCGGTTCAGCGGCACCGGAGGGCGAGGAGGAGGAGGAGGAGGACGACGAGGAATCTCCAGGCCTTCTCGGCCACGGTGAGGGCGTTACTCTACACACCGACCCGCCTCCCGTCGACGTTGGGTGATGAGCACGCCGTGAGCGTGTCGGCTGGAGCCATCCACAGCCTCGCCCTCACCGCCGACGGCGCTGTCTGGAGCTGGGGTGAGGGCTACGTTGGCCGCTTGGGCCACGGCGACCAGCAGGCTCAGTGGCAGCCCAAGAAGGTCGAGGCCTTTGCTGGGCGGCGCGTCATCGCTGTGTCGGCGGGATTCACCCACAGCATCGCCATCACCGCCGATGGCGCCGTCTGGAGCTGGGGCGGTGGAGGTTTTGGCACGCTTGGCCACGGCGACTGGCAGGACCAGCTGCTGCCAAGGAAGGTCGAGGCCTTCACTGGGCAGCGCGTCGTCGCTGTGTCGGCTGGAGGCTTCCACAACCTCGCCATCACCGCCGATGGCGCCGTCTGGAGCTGGGGCGATGGAGGCTTAGGCAAGCTGGGCCACGGCAACGCGCAGAACCAGCTCCTGCCCAAGAAGGTCGAGGCCTTCGCTGGGCGGCGCGTCGTCGCCGTGTCGGCTGGAGGGTACCACAGCCTCGCCCTCACCGCCGATGGCGCCGTCTGGAGCTGGGGCGTTGGAGACTCTGGCAGCTTGGGCCACGGCGACCAGCAGCGCCAGCTGCTGCCGAAGAAGGTCGAGGCCTTTGCAGGGCGGCGCGCTGTCACCGTGTCGGCGGGAGATTTGCACAGCCTCGCCATCACCGCTGACGGCTCCGTCTGGAGCTGGGGCGATGGAGCCTTTGGCAAGTTGGGCCACGGTGACTATCAGAACCAGCTGCTGCCCAAGAAGGTCGAGGGCTTCGCTGGGCAGCGCGTCGTCGCTGTGGCAGCTGGAGATAACCACAGCCTCGCTGTCACTGCCGACGATGCTGTTTATGCTTGGGGACTGGGCGAGGGCGGCTGCCTTGGCCACGGAGAGGACCTGTCGAACCAGCTGCCTCCCAAGAAGATCGAGGCGTGGGCGCCGGGGCAGTGAGAAGTTTTGCCCGACGTACAGGCTACAGGTCAGCCTCGAACACCACACGCACCGCCGAGCACGTCGAGCACCACGCCCGCGCCCTGGATCGCGGCGGGTTCTGAAGGCAAACTATCAGTTTTGACTCTCTCTCCCTCTCCCCCTCTCTCTCTCTCTCTCTCTCTCTCTCTCTCTCTCTCTCTCTCTCTCTCTCTCTCTCTCTCTCTCTCTCTCTCTCTCTCTCTCTCTCTCTCTCTCTCTCTCCTCAAACGTTTTTTACTCCGAGTCGGCGCAGCGACACCACAGCACAACTGCGATTTCGGTCTTGAAGCCTCCACGTCGTCGGGCACCGGGTTCCTCCGTGCCTGCGCTTTCTCCCTGCCCCTCCTCCATCCCCTCTCCACTACTCCACTCGCCTCTGCACCCCGTCCCCCCACCCAATCATATCAATCCCCCCCCCCTCTCCTCTCCTCTCTCTCTCTCGCTCTCTCTCTCTCTCTCTCGCTCTCTCTCTCTCTCTCTCTCTCTCTCTCTCTCTCTCTCTCTCTCTCTCTCTCGCTCTCTCGCTCTCTCTCTCTCTCTCTCGCTCTCTCTCTCGCTCTCTCTCGCTCGCTCTCTCGCTCTCTCGCTCTCTCGCTCTCTCTCTCTCTCTCTCTCTCTCTCTCTCTCTCTCTCTCGCTCGCTCGCTCTCTCGCTCGCTCGCTCGCTCGCTCGCTCGCTCTCTCGCTCGCTCTCTCTCGCTCTCGCTCTCGCTCCGCTCTCGCCCTCGGCCTCGGCCTCGCTCTCGCGCCGCCGCAGAAAAAATTCTCTTTGCGGTGTACCTGTGTTAGTGCCAGTGCGCGCCAGTCCCGTGCCCAGTGTTGTGCGAGGGAGTTTTGTTGTAAAATTCTCCGCGTTGTGAATTTCTCTTTGACCGCCTTTTGAGAGAGAGATTTTTAGAAGCCAACAAGAAATGTGTCACACAGAGTGATTTGCGCTCGGCAGCTTGTCCTTTTGTTGTAAAATTCTCTTTGCGCACGTGGTGTACCTGTGTTAGTGCCAGTGCGAGCCAGTCCCGTGCCCAGTGTTGTGCGAGGGAGCTCGGTTGTAAAATTCTCTTGCGCGGCGAGGCCGTGCGAGAGCGCTGTTTCGTGCCTTTTTGTTATACCAAAAAGAGGGCTACACACGGCCCTCTACGCTGGGGCGCCGGCGCCCTACTGGGCGCCCCCCGCTCCCTTCCCCTTAGAGCCCCCCATCCCACTAGCATTCCCCCGCGGTCCCTCGCGGTCGCGCGACGCCGCACCAATAGCGCGCTGTGCCTCGTCCGCGAGCGCCGTCCAGAGCTGCACCGACAGTCGCTGCAGCGCAAACGGCATCCATTCGCGCGCCGACCACGACGTCTGGTCGTACTGCCACCACGTGAGCTTCCGGCCCGCCACCTTAGCCACCCGCATCAGCAGCTCCTCCACCCCCGCGCTCATTGCGCCGAACTCCTCGAAGAGCAGCGCCTCCACGCGGCACTTCCCCTCTGCGTCGGTGTACTGGCCCTTGACAGCCTCGACCGTCCCGGTCCCCGTCCGCGGGTCCCACATCCCCACCCTCCCGCCCCTGTCCCCGCCCTCCACGCCCAGAACCGTCTCGCGGGCGCGTGGCAGCGTGTTGCCGCAAGCGACAAACGCCCCCATGCGCCCCACCCCCGAGGGGTCCGACGGCACACCGGCGAAGATCTTGGTGTCGCCGATGCAGGGCAGGTCCCCAATCACGCCCTGGTAAATGTACAAGTCCGTCCTCGTAGTGCTGTGCTCGCAGTGAAACTCGTGCTCCACCGCGCCACGCCCCAGCTTGCCCCGCAGCAACTCGACAAGGTCCAGGAGGACCTCCTTGTGACGCGTCTGGTGGCCCGCCGCGCCGTCGTTCTGCGCCACGTCGCCAAGGGCGTCAAAGGGCAGACCGTGCTGGCTGTAGATGCCGTCCGCCATGACGTCCGTCATCATCGACAGGTGTAATCCAAAGCGGCGCTGCAGCGCGAAGCGCAGCACGTACGAGGGCAGACGGAAGTGCGCGCGGGTCGGGATCGCGTTCAAGAACGCGCCCGCGCCGAACTGGCTACCCGAGACAAACCGCACCTGCTCCCTCCTCCCTGCGCGGCCCGCCGCCGCATGCATCTCCCTCCAGGCCGAATGGTGAATCGTCGCGGAGTATCGGCGCTGAGCGTGTTGTAGAAGATTGCTGCGCGAGCTCCATTCGGTAAGCGGAAGGTATGTACGCGGTCGACGTCGAGCGCCTGCTGCACGCAGTCGATCTCCGGAGCGCAGGCGCCGCCGATCGCCCGCACCAGGTCGCCCTCCACCGCACCGCCGGCCGAGACGTCGCTCCACGAGTGAGACGCCTGCGCGCGCGCCGCAGCCGCGCGCCCGCCTCCCCGCCCGCTCGACCAGCCGCCCGCACTGCCCTCGCCCCATCCGTCGCCGCGCCCGAGCTTCGGGGCCGGCTGCATTCGCACGCCGCTGCCGGAGCGCGTCGCGACTCGCGCAGCGGCGCCCGGCCGCGTCTCGTCGTGGGCAGCGCCCGCGGGCTTGCGCGGGCCAGCGCCTGAGCGGGGCGGCGTGCCGCCCCCTGGTGCCGGCGGTGTGGGAGGCGGCGGCTCGCCGCCGTGTTCGGGCGGAGAGGGAGGCAGCGACGGCGGCGGCGGCGCCCCGCCGCCCGCCGGTGTCGAGGGACGCGGCGACGGTGGTGGCCCCTCACAGCCCCCCCCACCGACGCGGGCCTGCGTGTGCGGTGGCGAAGGCTGCCCGCCCGGCCGCGCCGGCCCGTCCTGGCCCCGCCGGCCCTCCTTCCGACCCTCATCCGCCTGCTGGAAGAGCGCCCTCTTCGCGGGCGCGGTGAGGCCGGTGTCGGCGCCGCCCTGCGCCCCGCCGGCGATGCGCTCCGCCTTCGAAGGCGGGCTGCCTGTCGGCGGCCCTCGCTTCGTGCTCGCGCCGGCCAGCTTGCGAGCCTCATCGGCTCTCGGGCAGGATGCCCTGTGCTGCCTGTCTGCAGCGCAGGCCGCAGCACGCAGTACTTGGGCCAGCCGGGACACCGCCGCACGGCGGGCGGCCAGGCGGCGCAGTGGTCCGGCGCCCTGCGCCGCGACGACTGGCTGCCGGTTCGAATCTACACCGCCGCCGCCGCCGCCGCCGCCGCCGCCGCCGCCGCCGGGCTGTCGGACGACAGCAGCAGCGACGCCATAGAAACGCGGGAACGCGCCCGCCGAGCGCTTTTTAGTGCGCCCGTCACGGAGCCGCACTCCTGCCACGTCTCGTGTCCGCTGCGATGTCGGGGGGGCTCGAGCGGTACGACCGAGGGCCTCAATTAAGGCTGTCGGTGCGCGGAGAGGCGTGGCCAGAGGCGTCTGGCATCCACTACAGGTTCCGAGCCACAACACCTCTGGTGTATCTCATGGAGGATTTCTGCCGGCGTGTGCAGCAAGCTGACAGCGGTGTCGTTTTACTCCAACGTCCGCTTCCTCCTCGCGTCTGGCCGTGAGATCCGCGACCACGACTCGCTGGCGTCGCTCGGCGTACACATCGACGGCGCGCCGATCACCGTGGCGGGGGACGTCGCCCCACGGCCCGGCCAGCAGCTGAGCGGTCGGCCAGGCAACCCAATAGAGCTGGACGCGCCGCAAGACTTGGTCGACACTTCCGCCGACTGGGAACGCCGTGTGCGGCGGCGGTCGCTCGACCACGACGAGCAGCGCGACTTGGTGGGACAGCTGCGGCTTCGTGAGGGAGAGGCCGCTGGCAACGCGCGGGAGCTGGGCAACCTGGAGCGCGATCTGCAGCAGCAGCGCGAGCGGCAGCGCGCATCGGCGGAGGCTGAGATCAGCCGCCTTCCGACCTACGATCGCTACAGCTTGACGCAACGCCGCGAGCTGGCTCAGAGCAGCGCCGTCTACGAGCATCTCGTGAGCGAGTTCCACCGCACCGCTACGCAGCACCGCGGCCCGCTGCCAGGCCAAGACCAGCCCGTGAGGAGCGCTCCGCAGTTCGAGGTCGTGCGGGTGGAGGAGTTCCACAACCCGCGGTCTCAGGAGGGCTACAAGATGGAGCTGCAGGACCTGACCGGGCGCTGCCAGCGGCGGGTCTCTCCGCTGGTTCCTTTGCCTGACGCGCAGAACGTGCAGACCGTCGCGGGGCGGCAGATGAACGAGTTCATGATGTACCACGGGGCGGCGTCGCACAAGATTGAGCGCCTCTTCCAGCAGGGCCTCGATCCGCGCTACTCGGGCTCCAACGGCGGCAAGATGTTTGGCCTTGGAACCTACCTCGCGACGAACTCTTCAAAGGCGGACATCTACACTGAGCCAAACGCTGCGGGCGAGCGGTGCGTGCTTGTGGTCCGGGCGACGCTGGGCGAGGCCTACTACGAGAACTACCACACGCCCGCGGGCGTGACGCCCGAGGCCCACCGCAGCCACATCATGTCCCGGCGCCTCCCGCCCGAGCGCGCCGACAACCGCGGGCCGCTCTCGAGCATCGTCGGAGTCACCCGGCAGTACGGCGGTGCGGTTGAGCACCCAGAGTTCATCGTCTTTGACCGCCGCCAGTGCCTCGCACAGTACGCCGTCTGGTACAGGCACGCTCCCGGCTGCTTCTGCACGCATTGCGTACAGCGCAAGATTCTGATCGAGCATCCGCTGGCGGGGTCGTCCTTCACCCTGCCTGCCGCGTACGGCGATCGCGGCGCCTTCAGCCTCCTTGGCTCTCAGGGGCAGATGATGCGCATTCAAGACGATATTCATGCGCGGACAGGAATGCGAGTCTACATGCAGCGCCTCGACGGTGGCATCGCCAGGGGCTATGGGGTCAAGCTCAGGCTCATGGTGCGCACGGATGTCCCTCCGGTCGTCCCCGTCGATGTCGACGCAGGGCCCATGGTCCGCCTCAAGGTGAACTGCGTGGACCAAGAGAACTGCGTGCTCCACATCATCGTGCAAGCGGCGGCGGGTAGCAACGAGCCCACCGTCATGGACATCAAGCATGCCATGCGGCTCAACACCGGCGTGCCACCGGAGAAACAGCGGCTGGTCTTCGGCGGGGCCGAGCTGGCGGACCGTGCCACGCTGAGAGCGGCGAGGGTGGGCGCCAACGTGACGCTCCACATGATGCTGCGCCGCGCATCTCCATCTGCGCCATAGAGCATAGTGCATGTGGAGAGGAGGGAGAGCTGGGGGCGAGCCGCTAGAGCGCAGCTTCCAGCTGTAGAGAGAACGGCTCTACTGGAGAGTGGAGTGTGGAGAAGGCGTCACAGACGGTCCGTCGTCCACGTCGTCCTGGCGATGGCGTCTCACGTCTCAGCACTCACCACTCACAGGTCCTCGGGACCGGCGGTCTCGGTTACACACGCATGGCGACGGTACGGTCACACACAGATGTCGGCGACGCGCGCGACGGTATACACGGTCAATTCGGTCTGTCCGCTGTGTAGTCCTCGGTGAGCACCGCGTGGAGACGAGGGGGGGTGCGAGTGCAGCGACAGCGACTGAGAATACGGTCGAATACAGTTGAACACGCGTCCCCTCTCGAGCGCTACTAGGAGTACAAGAATGGCTCCGGCTCAGGTCAGAGGGCCCAGCGACTCGTCGGTTGGGTGTAAACGGGCATTGCCTGTGGTCTTCAACGCACAAAGGGTGTGAATAGAGTTCTCTTGATCCTTCTGAGCACGAAGACCACTCGAACTCTTGTGCAGACTCTAGTGTTTCCGGTTTTCATAAGCTGTGAATAGTTATTGCGCCCGCCGCAGCCCGCCCTCTTCACCTGGGTTTCGCGCCACGGGCCACGAGAGCCCTGGAAGAGCCCAGCTGGCATGTTCTATCGCCCGGGTGTCGGGCTGTCTGCATACAGACGTCTCGTCGCCGTGGCCGACGCATGGCTGGTCCGACGTGTGGAGGAGTTTGACCTCAGCCAGGCCGTCGGTGTCGGCGGGCTGACGGCGGCCGCCGGAATCGCGATTCGCTCTGCCAGCTGCCAGCAGCCTCGTGTCGCCGCTCTCGTTGGCGCAGCAGCAGCGATTGGCCTTTGCGCCGTCGCTCGACGGCGTCACCGCCCATCCGACCCGCGCAGCTCCTGCAGCTCCTGCAGCTCCTGCTGTCAGTCTTCTGCTCTCACGCACCTCACTCGCCGCGCGCGGATTGTGCGCCGCGCCAAGCAGGACACGTGCTCATGCAAACAATGCGAGAACTTGGGTGCGCCGCTTAGTGGCGGCGCTGCTTTAGAGGAAGCGGCAGCGTGGGAAGCAAAGCAGATGGAGGCGGCGCGGCATGCCAAGGAGCTGCTCATGCTGGCGGAGGTTGAGCGGCTAAGTGCAGCAAGGGCCCAGGGCAAGAAGGGCAAGAAGAAGAAGATAATGTTGGCGTGGGCGATACGGGCGCCGCTAGGCTCAACGAGGAGGTGCTGTGCAGTTAGAGAGCTCGTAGCGAGCTCGATTTTGATGAGAATTTGATGAGAAATATCTCAATTTTGAGCAAAAAACGGTAAACGCCCAAAAAATCGGCGCCTGCGGCGGGCCAGCCTCCGGCGGCGCCTGCGGCGGGCCGCTGCCCAGACCCCGTTTACACCCGAGCTATGCCCCACGACCTGAGCCGGAGCCAATGCGTGTTCTTCTTGTTCTACTCTTTACGGACGGTCCGATCGGACGGCTCGCCCCCCATCAGCAGCGGGCCGTGCGCGGCGGTGACCCGCCCCTTGTACCAGCGCCGCGCGTCCGAAAAGTAAACCAGCGCATCTCGGAGAGAGGAAGGCTTGCAGCGGGGCCAAGTCGCCCCGAGCCAGGTCGTCGAGGCGGGGCCAGCCCTCGGACGGAGACCTCAGACCTGTGTTTACTTGATGGCCCTTTCCCTGCGAACGAACGAACGAACGCGCACCCACCCCCCACGGGCTAGGTAGGGCTCTGCCCGCAACCCGATCCCGCGCATCAGTAATTCCGTGATTTGTCCGTTGGTGACGTACTTTCAAACCGTAGCCAGCTACGAGCGACCAGCGCCACGCCCCTCGTCCCGTCCCTCGTCCCCCCTTGAGAGGAAGGAGGAGATCCGCAGCTAGTCGAGGGGCGTGGCCACCCTCCTTGCGGAGCAGGAGGAGATCCGCAACGTGGCAGCTAGTCGAGGGACTCGGTAGTTGTGTGACCCCCCTGCATCGCCCTGACGTACCTACGGGGCCACAACATGCTCGGCAGCAGAAAGGGCGAACGGGGGCGTCTTCGCCGCAACCCCTCCCCAGAAAGCCGACAACTGGCACTCGGCTGGTTGCACACCGGCGACGCCGCCATCTCCGCCAAAGCCGCCGTCGCCTCCGTCTCCGCCGTCGCCACCGTCGCCGCCCCGTCCCTGCCCTTCCCTCCGGCGCCGCCAGCCCCAGCCACCCCCTCGCCCCTCCGCCCCCTACGCCCGATCCCCCCCCCATGCCTCCGCCAGCACCGCCATCGCCGCCTGCGCCCCCGACGCCCCCGCCAGCGCCCCCCTTTCCGCCCGACAAGGCGCCCAAGCCGCCAACACCTGCAAGTCCGCCGCCTCCGGCGCCACCCTCTCGCCACCGGCGCCACCGTCCCCGCCGACATGGATGCTGAGGCCAGACCCGCCAGCGCCGCCCGCTCCGCCGCCCGCCGCCGCCCACGCCCGACCCGCCACCCTCGCCCCCGGCGCCACCCTCGCCCCCGGCGCCGCCCATGCCCCCGCCGATGCCTTTGCCGCCCCCGCCACCACCGCCGAACCGCCGCTTCCTCCGTCGCCGCCGGCGCCCCCTGGACCCCCGCCCATTCCACCAACCCCACCGGCGCCCCCCGCGCCGCCGCCGCCGCCACCGGCGCCCGAGCCACCGCCAATGCCGCCGCCGGCGCCCCCATCGCCGCCTGCCCCGCCCATGCCGCCGCCTGCCCCTTCGCCCGCGCCGTCACCAAGGCCGTCCCCGCCGCCGATGCCGTTGGTTCTTGGGCGAGCAGTTTACGGCGCTGAAGGAGGTCCCATGCAGGCCAACGAAAGCCGCCCCGTGTATATTGCGACCGACTTGCCAGAAGACGCGCGCCTGATGGCGGCGTACGCACTGAAGCGGCGCACCTTCTTCATGAAAAGGACCGAGGAGCTCGCCAACCCGCACGTGGCTACTCGACTACCTGGGGGGCAAGGAGAGGGCGATGGCGAGCTTCATGGCGCCGATCCTCGTAGACATCCTTGTAAGTGTGCTGGCGGCCAACTTTTACGGCAACGCGGGCTTCCTATCCACGTACACTATGCTCATCCATAGGGAGCGTGTCTGCCTGGCCTCGGCCGAGGGCGCGAGCCGCCGAGCGACACCCAGCTGGTTGAGGTCACGTCCCACCTCAAGGGCATGCGTTGGGCCCTCAGGCCTCCCCACGGCGCACGGGCACGCTAAATTCTTTTTTGATTACTGACGCCAGTCCCGTGCCTACCGCCAGAGGAATTCTTTTTGCGTAAATTCTGGCGCCCTTGGCAGGCTGACTCCCGCGCCGATGGCCTCCCACCGCATCGGCGCGCGCGTCGCGGGCCTCTCGCCAGCGCAGCTGTGCGCCATCATCGAGGCGCAGACGGGCGCGAGCGCCGCCGCGCTGCGCGTGGCGGAGGAGCACGCCGCTCGGCTCGTGGAGCAGCCCGAGTGGGTGCTCTCCGAGGTCCTCCTCTCGCCGGACCTCGCCCCGCACATCCTCTCCCAGCTGCCGACCAAGGAGCACGCCGTCAAGGGGACGTGCCACGCGTGGCGCCGCGGCTGGAAGGAGACGCTGAAGAAGCGCGAGAGGCCGCGCCTGGTCGTGATCGGCGGCGAAGACAAGACTGGACGCGTCATCAGCTCGATGGAGCGGTACGACCCGTCAACGAATGCGTGGGAGGAGGAGGCTATGGCACCGATGCCGACGGCTCGTTCGGGCGCGTGCATGGCGGTGCTCGATGGCAAGCTGTACGCGGCGGGAGGCAGTGACGGCCCCCGGGGCGGCGCAACTTCCAACCTGGTGGAGCGGTACGACCTGGCTACGAAAGAATGGGAGGCGGTGGCGCCGATGGCGGAGGAGCGGCACGATCACGCTATGGAGGTGCTCCACGGCAAGCTGTATGCCGTGGGCGGGTACAACGGCGGCGCCCTCAGCTCAGTCGAGCGGTACGACCCGGCCTTGGATGCGTGGGAGGAGGTGGCGCCGATGGCGGCGTTGCGGGCTGCTGTCGGCGTGGCGGTGCTCGACGGCAAGCTGTATGCCGTGGGCGGGTACGACGGCGGCGTCCTCAGCTCGGTGGAGCGGTACGACCCGGCGTTGGATGCGTGGGAGGAGGTGGCGCCGATGGCGACGGCGCGGCATGCTCCCGCCGTGGCGGTGCTCGACGGCAAGCTGTACGCTGTGGGAGGCTACGACAACGGCTACCTCAGCTCGGTGGAGCGGTACGATCCGACAACGAACGCGTGGGAGGCAGTGGCGCCGATGGCGGCGTCGCGGGCTGCTGTCGGCGTGGCGGTGCTCGACGGCAAGCTGTTCGCTGTGGGCGGCGAGAGGGAGGACGAGGACGAGGAAGAGGAAGAGGAGGACGATCTACTCAACAGGGTAGAACAATTCGACCCGTCTACGAACGCGTGGGAGGAGGTGGCGCCGATGGTGACGGCACGGAGCGCGCCCTGGGTCGCCTTGCTGTAGATGATGATAGTGAGGACAGGAGAGAGAGAGCTTTTGTGGTGTTGGTGTACGCAATAACGGGACAGGGTAGTCGTTCTCTCTAGCTCCCCTTCTAGCTCTTAGCATAAGCTGCGCCCTGTGTCCGACCCCTTTTGCGCAGCAACACCTTAAACTTTTAGGCCCTCCAAATTCGGGTCGGAGCGTATAGCCTGCGGAGTGGGCCCCGAGGGAGTTTGAAAAGGGCGCGACACCGACAGACGCACTTGCGTGAATGCGTCCTAGCCTCTCACCTGCACAGGGCAAAAACGTGTAGCTTAACATGCCACCCTTTGCCGCCTTGCCTACGCCGCGGGCGGCGGTGAGAGCGGCCTGCTGGGCTAGCATGTTGTCCTTGCTGGGGACGGGCACGTGGAACGCACGTTACATGTTTGAACGGCCTCCAGGATTCATTCAAAAATAGCCAAGGCCCTCTCGCAACCCCTCCGACCCCCTGGGACCCGTGGGCGTCGAAGAGGCGCTCTCGGGGGGCCGTTCTGAGTTCATACTACCTCGAAGTACAATATACTGCGTCAAAGCACCGGCCCTGAGTCCGAAATCTCTCTCAGACTCGGCTCAGAGTCCAAAATTTGACGATTTCCACAGAGTTTTCCGAAAATAGAAGAAAAGAGAGGGTGTTGTAGAGAAAAAGGAAAGGAAAACAGATGGCGAGATGGGGCGCGAGAGGCAAACCTCGTACATCCCAAAAGACCGAGGGCGGGCCTTTCGGGCTCGGGCCGCCCTCTCGCCCGCACCTTTGCGGGGCTTGCATGCAGGACCAAAAAGAAGAAGAAAGAAAACAGAGAAAGGGTGAGTAAAAGGGGGAAAGCGGTGTAGGAGCTTTCACAGCCTGCAGCTTATCTTCATATCACAACCCGCACAAACCCAGCCTGCTGAGAGGGCACCGAGCTGATCACGCCTGGGGCTGTGTGGCTGGTGCTGATCAGAGGCAGTCGCCATGTCCCAGACAGTGGAGGTGACCGCCGCTGACACACACGACACACACATACTCACGCTTCCAGCCAGCACACTCCACGCACGCACGCGACAGCCGGTGGTCGCGCAGACGCTGCGCTGAGCGAGGACTCTGGCTCTCCCATCGCTGCCGCGCGCGCGTTTCCGCTGGCGCGCCAGCCTCAGGCGCCTGGATCGCCGCTGTGCTGCAGGTCGGCGGCCGCCAATACTCCGTCTTTGAGGGCGTCTTCCTGAGGCCGTTCCCAAAGGCGCCTCCGTGGCTGGCGCGGATTGAGGAGATACGACCGCGCATCGGCGGCAACAACAAGGTGCAGTACTGGCTGGCCGTCCGCTGGTTCTACCGCCGCTCCGACCTCGCGCCCTCCACGACGCACCGCCGCCCGAGGTGAGAGCAGCCGCCTGGTCCACAGCCACGCCGCCGCCCGCGCCGCTGCGGGCGCTGCGCTCCTCCACTCACGCCGGCGTCGCGCCCCCAGGTGCGACGACGAGGGCAAGGAGGTGTACCTCGCCACGGGCAAGCTCGACGAGGTCTGCAGCAGCACCATCGCCGGGCCGGCGCGCATCCTCTGCGCGTCGGATGCGCCAAACTATGCCGCGCTGGCCGACGAGGCTGCGGCTGCCTGCGCTGCCGCCGGATGCGTGGGACGGTCCCTCACCGCTGTCGCTCCCCTCCGGCAGGCGGAGGACGCCTTCTTCTACCGGTCCGATTCCAGCCCGGCTCCCCTGTCCGTTTCTCCGTCCTTACCCTTCCTGGGCGCGCCGCTTTCCCTTTCTCTCTGTCTCGCTCGCCTCTTTCTCTTTCCCTTCTACGCCTTCCTCTTTCCTT